TTAACAAATTGTCAAATTAATCGATCTTGGATTAAAAAAAAAAATCACAAATTTTCAAAAAATTCTATCAGGGATTACAAAAAAAAATTCGATTATGGATTAAAAAATAAAAATCACAAATTTTCAAAAAATTCTATCATGGATTAAAAAAAAAATCACAAATTTTTAAAAAATTCAATCATGGATTACAAAAAAATCAATCATGGATTACAAAAAATTCGATCATGGATTACCAAAAATTCGATCATGGATTACATAAAATTCGATCATGGATTACAAAAAAAAAAAACATAAAAAATAAAAAATTCCATCGTGGATTACAAAATAAGAAAAAAACAATTCGATCATGGATTACAAAAAATTCAATCATGGATTACAAAAAATTCTATCATGGGTTACAAAAAAACAAAAAATTCGATCATGGATTACAAAAAATACTATCATGGATTACAAAAAATTCGATCATGGATTACATAAAATTCGATCATGGATTACATAAAATTCGATCATGGATTACGAAAAAAAACAAAAAATTCAATCGTAGATTACAAAAAAAGAAAAAAACAATTCGATCATGGATTACAAAAAATTCAATCATGGATTACAAAAAACTCTATCATGGGTTACAAAAAATTCGATCATGGATTACAAAAAAAAAACAAACATTTCGATGATGAATTACAAAACATTCGATTATGGATTACAAAAAATTCTATCATGGGTTACAAAACAAAAAACAAAAAACAAAAAATTCGATCATGGATTACAAGAAAAAAAAACAAACATTTCGATCATGGATTACAAAAAATTCGATCATGGATTAAAAAAATATCTATCATGGGTTACCAAAAAAAAAACCTATCGTGTGTCTAAAGACATATGATTGCGACCATATACCCTATGACTACGGGTACGGGTTGCGTCGAATAATATTCGGGTCCAAAATTTAGACCCATACCCAGTCCCGAAGTCTGGTCTACCCGTCGGGTCCTGGGTCTGGTATGGTCCATTGCCACCCGTCTTGCAAAAAATATAAAGCAATAATCATTAAAAAAAAACCGAACTTTTCTTTTTTAGGAACCAAAACCGAAAACCAAAGGGAGTAATAGGGAATGAAAATGACGCCGATAAAAAGATGCTTAATTTTTGTTTTTCAAATAGAAAAAGAGAGAAAAATGCTTCTTTTTCGGAAGCAAAGTAGCCTTTTAAAAAGGCGAATGTTTAAGAAAAAATTTCTTCTTTTTGAAAACGAAATGACTTGGAGAGCGAAGGCTTCTTTTTTTTTTTCCTTGTGGAAGTAGGAAATTTTTATTTGCTAACAAGTATAGAATATCAATATATCTGCTCACCATAAAATAGAAAGTAAATCATTTTTATTTTAAAAAGTTGGATGAAAAAATCAAGTAAAAAATACGGATCGGTAAAAATACTTTATGTAAAATTATCGTAAATATAGCGGACTAGGCTCAAAAAATCGGAGTGAAAAAAATGGATAAATTTAATGGTTCAATGTAAGAAAAAAAAAACGGACTAGGCTCAAAAAATCGGAGAGAGATTAAATGATACTAAAAATTTAGCCAGCTAGGAGTTCAATGTAAGAATCAAATTTTCTTAAGCATTTTGTTGATTTCTTTATGCACAGAGAAATTTATTAATTTCATATTTTTATTGTATCTTCTTATTTTGTATGGTGTATTTTTGTTAATCGATATTCTTAATTTACTCTCACTGTTAATGGGCTTATTTTTAAACCAAAATTTAATAATATTAAATTAATAAAAAAATAAATTTATAATGAAGAAGTTTTTTTGAAAAAAAGATAAAATTCCGATTTATATCGGTTCCATTAAGAAAAGTGATTTTTTTAATATCTTTTGAAAAACTCAGATTTTATGGATTGCAAAAAATTAGATATTTTTTAAAAAAGTTCTGTTTTAAACAGAGACTTGCAAACAATAGTTTTGGATCCATGGAAAAAATTTCTTGGAAATATCTATACCCGTTGAAATGTATTTCTTCATAAAAGTAGTTTTGTAGTTTGGATGGTACATTATGCATAATATTTTTAAGGCTTTTTTATATGAAAAAAGTTTATATAAGGATGCTACCTTATAATGTAGAACTATGAATGCCCCTCAAAAATCCATCGGAAAAGGTAGTTTTAATGTTGAAAAACCCTTTGATTGATCATCTCGACATCAAGATATATGACTATGAATTTAAGTCTCATAAATAGTGCATTTTACAACATATTGTCTACACCGTCTATTTTTTAGATTTTCCTATATTTATAGATCTACTTGATTTTAAACATTTTTTAAATTTAAAATTTTATAATTAGATATAAAAATAGATTTTGAGATAATCCTAATAACATTTTACATCAAAATTATAAACCATGATAAAATTTGAAGGTGCATTGCTACACCTACAGATATGCAAACTGCACCCTTTTTATATATTTTTTGTTGAATGTTTTTTATTGTATTGTAAATTGTAATGTCTTTTTCAAAAATAGTTTCTCTTTTTAAAATTTTTGAGAAAATTTCTCTCCAAAAATTTTGTAGTTTCTCCCTCTAAAGTTTGATATAGTTTCCCTCTCTAAAATTTTAACATATTTTCTCTCTCTAAAACTTAAAATTTGAGATAGTTTATCTCTCTAAAAATTTTGAGATAGCTTCTCTCCCTAAAATTTGACATAATCTCTCTCTAAAATTTGACATAATTTCTCTCTCTAAAATTTTAAGTTATTTTTTGCTTTCAAAGTTTAAAATAAAAGATAGTTTTTCCCTATAAAAATTTTGAGATAGTTTCTCTGAGTAGATTTTTAGGTAGTTTCTCTCTCTTAAATTTACTATAGTTTCTTTTTCTAAAATTTTATGATACTTTATATATATATATATATATAT